CCCCTACTTATTCGTTGAATATACTTGGGGTCGAGCATCTGTTTTCAACATCAGATAGTGCTAAACTTGGAAGCAAATGATGTAACCGTTTACAATGCTCACAAACAGAATGTGCAGAGAAATGTGTACATTGGAGTTTAGATGGCATCTTATGCACTGTAAAGGTGGTTGAGGAAAGTTTTAGAAGACAAATTCAATTAAATGTCACGTTAACATCATTGCTCTGAAGTAGAACCAACGCACCAAATTTTCACCTGTCTTCCGCTAGTTAGTTGGCAGTTACAAGCCCTTTAACAGCCCAGCTTCTTTGAACGAGTTGAATGGAGTTACAGAGGACGATACATATCATGATGGGTGGTCAGTGTGCCAGGATCCCGGAGTGTTGAAACACTCCGTGGATACGCCACTGGCGTTTCAGTATTGGCTGACCGAATGCAGTTGTGATAAACGAAACTTTCTACCCTCCGATCCCGAAATACCTACTTTCATGGGGGTAACAATCGTAGATACGAAGGAACATATTAACAAATGGGGAGAAAAAGCTACTAATTGGAGGCCGTCCAGTGATTCCAGCTGCATAGCGAAAAAATCGGAAAATCGATTCCTAATTAAGACTCTTTATTTTGCACCACATTCATTGCACATTTTACCTGAATAATTAACTCCTTAGCTCATCGATCGAATGTTCGCATTTTTTACTTTTGATTCCTGCTATACCGAAAAATAAAGTCTAATGTAGCTCTCCTCAAAGATACTTACGGAACTATTCATTTTGCACTAACTTTGTACTAAAAAATCAATACTGACTCATTCATCAAGGGAATTTAGTAAGAATGCAACTGACGAGAAAATATATTCACTTCTGAGGATCTACGCGCTTTGCCATTTTAGCACCTCGACGATTAATACTTTTGGTTGGGCGAAATTTATTTTATATTTCAAGTACATATCGTTGTGTCAAAGTTGTTTGTTTAGGCTGGATCACTGTTTCACTGACAGATCTACAAGAAAACACGATAGCTGACTCACAGATTACTCAGGACATGTAAAAAACAGAGCAGGCCTCTTGATTGAGTTTTAAATAGGAAGAGGCCCCGCACTGAAAAGCACCACTGGCTTCAATGCCCAAACGAGACCACATATGTGATCAGTCGTAGTACTAGGTTGTCCTGTAGTAAACTTGTACCGATAGCTGGAGCAAACTTGTGAGGACAGTGAGGTGTTGTTCTAGGCGACAAGTATCTCTATAGTTATGGAAGCAAGGATGCTGCCTCCTTCGAGGAATGACAGGTTGGGGAAAATCGGCCATACAAACAGCACACTCCGGTCGTCCAAAGCTTGACCGTGACCGTCTGTGCATTTTTCAATGTGTTTGAAACACTTCTGGAACTCAGAAGCTCGCTGTGACGCAAAACGCTCCCACTGTACTCAGTAGTATCATAAATTAAGCTTTTGTTTCGTAAGCTATGAGTACCCGGCATTCACAGTCAAGTAGGTCAGATTCTCAAGTTGCAAGTTTTCTTACTGGTGCCTTAGGCGGGGGAAATCGTCTATCAAACCACAGCTCGGGTTGGTCAACCAAAGAAATACATACGAGTATAGAGTACTGACAAGTTGGAAATTTTGCCATTCGGCAACCACGTACAAAGAAGCGTGAAGACATGCGAACTTCGACTTCGAATATGGAATTTAAAGCATAAAGCATGAGGCTTCTGTAGCCAAGGTGCTGAAACGCTATCGTTACCGAGTCGATATGGCTGATCTATGTCAAGGATAAAGCATGTAAAATCAGTGCTTTTGTGTAGGGCTAATTGGAAAGCTGACCAAATTTAGAAGGATAAACCATTTCTCCATAATTAAGTTGGAGTATCCTTGCATTGTTTTTGTTTTCATAACACTGAAATAGTACAATTCCTTTATTATGAGGACTAATTTTCGAACAGCTACATGTCCTTACCCTTCAGATTTCCGCAGCTGTTAGTTCCATTTCAGAAGAGGCCATTTATCAAAAAGCACTTTTTCTGACTCTTTTCGTGTACTCAGCTTAAGAGTGGAACCGGCGAACAGCCCTGACTAAATTAAAGATCTTTAAAAGATTGCACGGCTGAGTTTTCTTAATGAAAGCTTCGAGTTATCGACACAATATTTTTTCATGTGTTGTTCTCCTCTAAGGTGCTTTTCATCAATAAAATTTGTTTCAAAGAACTAAATGGAAGTTGGTTGTTACTGGTAAGTTCTTTATTTATCATTCCAATTTCTAAAGGAATTTATGAAAATTTCCCAGATTGACGGGCGTGGTCCGCGGTCAGTTTGCCTGATTAGTAGCCCACAGTTAAATATTGAAGGCCCAAAAGTAGGGTGGGTTACGAAAGAAAACAAGGAAGTTTATCTTAAAGGGTGGTGTTGAAATTCATTGTCTAATTAGGCTGCGTGTAGACTTGCCATCCTGTGGTGGGATCTGACTAAGTAGTCAAGCAATAATGGTCTTTTCTTGGTGGGCGAATCTCTTCAAACGTTTGGCCTCTTCTCCTGGCAACCTCGTTATTGTGCGACAATAGATATAAGAAAACAATAAGTACAGCCTTTAGGGCTTTTTAGTGTACGGGATTCCAGAAAAGGTCGTAATTTATGCCCACTACTGATATTCTGTATGGAGCATTGAATACACGTCCGAAGTACTACCGAATTTGCGAAAAGCCCTGGTACAAATGTTGCCACTCTTCAGAAGACAACTGCCCTCGTAAACCATGTCTTAATAATAGTACCAGTTTGATTGGCTTCTTTGAAAACTACAGAGCGCCTCAGAAGCGATGCTTGCCTGAGGAAAACAGTTTTGATATCGTTAGATTTGTTCTAACATGGTGATTAGTTCGACGTGATTTCGTAGGTAATCGATACTAACCTGCCTAAACCACAAGCCTGTCAGTTTTGTCGTCCGCACATACAATAATCACTTAATCTTTGGTGAACGTAGTTAGCCACGATATTAGGTTCTGTGGATAATAACAAGTCTCTCAGGGTCGTACATCCTATATTCCAAAGCCTAGTGGTTCAGTCCGAAAACAAAGCATGCCTGTTGGATCACCAAGGAACTGCAAATCTTTTGCTTGCAAGGTGCTTGCACTGACTTTGAAGGTCGAATTCTTTGACAGTCCAATCTAACCGGACACAAACATATCAGTTTTGTGTTAGAATGGTAAACATACGCATGACCGCTTGCGAAGGTTTTCAAAGGAGGAAAAAGTAAACTACTCACAAGGTTCCGGAAAATTCTTCGACAGCTTACAACCGGTACCGCCCTACTTGAGGCTCATCAGGTAGGCGCAGTCACCGAGTTTTCGTCAACTTTATGTTCTACTTGAACCCAAATTGCACTGTTTTCGAGCAGTTGAGTGCATTTCTCCAGAACAGTCCAATCTGGGTTCAAGTAGAACATAAGGTTGACGGAAACTCGGGGACTGCTCCTGCCTGATGAGCCCCAAGAAGGGCGAAACCGGTCGTGGGCTGTCGAAGTTTTTAGGAACCTTGTGAGTAGTTTCCTTTATGAAAATATACTGCGATATCTCGAATATCGTTCCAACTGAAACATGAGGCGGCCTGTGCGCAGCACATTTAGTTGTAGAATATCATAAACAAGAGATTCAGTTGAGTCTCTCGTGAAAAATAAATTGATTTGCAAATCAGTGCATCTCTCGAGGAAAAAGGAAGTCCATGCCGTTAGTCCATGTGATTTTCTCCAAAAGGGGTTTATCAATTATGATATCTAAGGTTTCTGATGGCGGTGAGAGTGACCTACCAAAGGATTTACCACAATGTGTTTCTTACGAGCCACGAACACGGCATTATTTCGTGTCTCATTTTATCCTTCTTGAAAGTGGGTGCATTAGTACCCTGTTTTTTATCTATGTTCCAAATTGCCTGGTTCACTGGAGCTGCTCCTAGTTTGTTACCATTTATCATATAAATTACCGCTTATATTATTAATAGGCAATCAGCTTCACAAGTGACCGACGATAAATAGGAATCTATCCAACATACAACCTGCGTAATATTCCATGGCTTGCTGGAATCTTTGGCGCGCATCCATGGATACTAGTCTTGGTGAAAGGACTTCCACGGATAAAGAGAACCATTCCAGTAGCACACGCGCACATAAGTTGCCATTTTGTGAAATAAATGAGGCGAAACCCAAAAACATTTACTATTATGACTCCACAGAAATTTCCCCGACTTTTCGAAGACTTTATTCACAGCCAGTTACTTGGAATGTGCTTGGAGCTAATATCCCAGTTTTCGGGGGTTCCCTTCCACTCCAACAAAGTACGAAACGCAATGAATGTTATTAATAGTAAATAATAATAATAGTATTGTAGCTGACCAACACCTTGGCAAACAACATGTAAAAATAGTCCATGGATAGAAAGATTGATATCGCAAAAAACAGGGGAGAGCATGAGAATCATCACCACGGGGACAAGAGAGATCACAGACAAGGACATGATGTGTTGACATACACACACATATGCACGAAGAAAACGTCGACAAACACGGAGCTGGACTGGTGTAATAAATAATAGTGATGACGTTACTGGAAGGATAGGATGACTGAGCCCGCAGTTGATTCGTTGATAACAAACGAAACCGTAGGGTGGTGACGGGGATTGAGTTCCATTTGCTTGATGTCACCAATACAAACCGTTTTGGGGATATTACACCCATTTAAAACATTTGATTTCAAGTTCATTTCCAATTAGAAATTGACGATGAAGTTGTTGAACACAAGTCAGCGAGAAAGGGCACGGAACCGGTGATGGGCAATTCAGCAGGAGACTTTGAA